AGGAAGCATTAAAGTAAGCTTAGTTTTTCCAAAAAGGTAACCTCTGTTTAACCATCAACATAGGCAAAAATGGACAAGTCACTGTGCCTCAGAAGCTTTCCTAGTGCTTCTTCCATTCATAAAAATCTTCCATCCTTGGAAAACAGCCATGATAAAAATTATATCAAATCCCATGTTTTTACTTGACCTTTTAACCAAATGACTTATGCTTTTCTAAATAATACAGACATGTTTTGCCTGTTTGGGACTGTTATGTAACTAGAATCCTAGACAGAGTTCTTCATTTAACTTTGTCATACATCAAATGTCAAGTGTCCACAAAAGGATGGATCACTATGGGCCTTCCATGTTCTTCCACTGGTCTATTAAATACCCTTAAAGCAATAATCCTGCTATCTCAATTACTACAGTGTTACAATAGGATTTATTTTTTGGTAGAATAAGTCTAACCATCTTCTTGTTTCTTCTTCAAGAATGCATGGATTCTTCTCTGCACTTTGCATTATCACATACATTTAAAAGTAAACCTATTAAGTGCTATGAAATTAAAATAAATAAAACACTTGGGTTTTGTTTGGTGTTACATTATGTCTACAAAGTAAGGATCACTGGCATCTGCAAAATTTGAATCTCCTAATCTATAAAAAATTGAACACTATTTGGTTATTCTGGGATCCTTTTAACTACCTCTCAATAATTTTTTTTTTGTCTCTATAAAGGTCTAGTACATAATTTGCTACATTTATTTCGAGAAAATTAATGTTTATGTTGTTTTAAATAATATAATTTTTAATGTTTCATTTGTGTCTTTATTGCAGTATGCAAAATAAATTAATTTTCCAATAATAATAAACTTGTACAATACCCATATTAAGTGTAATAGTTTCTGAAGATTCTTTTGGACCTTCTGTATATATGATTTTATTATATGAAAATAATAAGAGCTTTAATTCTTCTTTTCACTTCCTTATACATCATTTCTTATTCATTTTTGTAGTTATTTATTTACATGCACATTTATACATATGTAAGTATTTTATTTGTTTAAGGATATACCACCAAAATGCAGGGGAGTTGGAATTATAATATGGTTCTTTCTGAACTTAAAGACTATTTATATTTAATTATCAGTTTCATAGGGAATGCTTTGTTTCAACAGTATGTATGAATTTTGCTACAGATGTTTGTGTGTTTGTTAGGTTATACTGAGATTGTTAATTTGATAAAAACACTTTAGTTCAGATTAGTTCTTTTCTAATTTTAATTTGCTATTCTGAGAAGATTTTGAATTTGTCGATTTTTCTCTATGTGGGCTTGTATAGTCATCTCATAATCCTATTTAATTTGAAAATATGGCAAATCACACTGATTGATTTTAAATGTGAATCTGACCTTACATTTCTGAGATAAATCCAGTTTAGTAATCATACTTTGCTCACTTTACATATTGTTAGATGCAGCTTTCTAACACATTGTTGACTTTTTTATTTGTATTTTTGAGAAATATTTCTCTATACTTTTTCTCCTTTATGAATTCTCATAACTTTTCAGTATCAATATTAGGATAGTTTACTAAAATATATTGTGAAATGTACCATTTTTTCCTATTCTATGAAATATTTGGCATGATATTGGAATATTTTCTTCCTTAAATATTTAATGGAAATTAAGAATGTAGCCATCTGGACACAGATACCCTTTTCTTTCTTTGTCTTCTTTTTCTCTATAATTAAATTTAATTATAAATTCAACTTATTTAATACAATGATTATAAGAATATTTGGGTATTCTATTTCTTATTTCTGCTGGAATAAATTTTGGTAAGTAATACAATTCATCCATTCAACATTTTCAAATTTATCAACATAAATTTGTACATAATGCCCTGTTATTATTTGTTTAATGTCCACAGGAACTATAGTGGTATCTTATTTATTATATCTTGATTAAGTTAATTGAACTTTTGTCTTCTGTAATCAGGATAGCCTGAAGTTGATATATTTTATTAGTCTATTTACATAACATTTTTTTAACTTTTCTGAAACTCTATAATACAATAAATGTTTTCTATTTTATTAATTTTTGCTATTATATTTAGTATTTATTTCTTTTTATTTTCATGTTTATTTTATTGTTTTTTCATAAAATTATTGAGATAAATGCTTAACTTATTAATTTTTCATTTTTTTCTAATATGTGCATTAAAATATAAATTAGTCGGAGTTTCTTATAATGTTAAGCATTTACTAAATGACTCCACATTATGTGGCTTTAAAAAAAAGACAAATTGGAAGTTATCAAACTTTATTCATCATTCAAAAGGCATTTAAAAGAATGCAAAACTAAGCCACAGACTGAGGAAAGATATTTACAAAATATATATCGAATTGAGAGCTTGTATTCAGAATGTGAGTTACTCTAACCAGTCAATAATAATAATGATATAAACTGATTTTAAAATGAGAAAAAAATTGAACAAACACTTCTACAAAGAAGTTATATGAATGGCAAATGTCCATATTGAAATATATTTTGCATAATTTGTCATAAGGTAAATAAAAATTAAAATCGCATGGACATATAATTCTATACCCAGCAGAATGGCCGATTTAAACTCTCATACATATAAAAACACACATACACAGAAAATAACAAATGTTTGTTAGGACATGAAACAACACAAACTCTAATATATTAGGGGTAGGAATGCAAAATTGTAAGTTACTTTAGAAAACTGCTTGGCAATTTCTTATGAAATTAAACAAATTTCATATAACACAACAATCCCACTTTCAGGTAATTTCCAGGAGAAATAAAAATGTATGTCCACACAAAAATGTGTACTAAGTTATCCTAATAACTAATGCTAATAACTTATGCTAATATTCATAATAGCCTAAAGGTAGAAACACCCTAATAGCTAGCTGTTGAAAGGATTAGCAAATTGTAGCATATTCAGAAAATAGAATAATATTTAACAATTAAAATGTATGAACTCTACATATATGGCTGAATCTCTGGAGCCCTATGCTAAATGAAGAAGACAAACAGAAAAAATGGGACACTTGCTTCCATTTGCTTGAAATTAACAAAAAAATAAAATTGTAGTAACTTAAAACTGGCCAATGGTTACTAGAGGCTGAGTTGAGGGAAGTTGACTACAAAGCGGCAGAAGAAAATTCAAGGAGAGATCCAGAAATATTTTATATCTAATTACTTTTGTCCTAATAGGACAGTATATAATGAAACTGTAAAAACTACTTAAATCTTAAGAACATGGGTGCAAGTAAGTAAGTAATAGTGAATGCATGGGAAATGATGTTATTATAACACACTATTTTCATTAATTTATAGAAAAGGACTATTAATGTTTTGCATGTGTTCAATCAGAATAGACTAAAAAATTAGATATGATACCAAGTTAAGGCAAACTTTTCCTACATAGTTTCCTCATAAGCTACTTGGATAATGTAGGCATAGAGGTTTATTATTCACAATAACGAGTTATGCCTTTAATATCTGCTCTTCTTGGCTCGGATACGGTATGGTGACAAAATCAAGGTCTGTGTCTCCCATTATCAAGACCTAGTAACAACTATTTCTCATCAGCTTAAATGAACAGAATTCAAGGACATGAATTCAACAACCTGGACATTATGTTCAACTCAACCTATGGCAACAGTGGTAGTTCGAACCACATCAATTTGGTTAGCTGAAATTATAGCTTTTGAAATTTTTTCCTGGCTTTGTGCCAGATCAGAGTTGGCCAAAACAGGAAATTACATGACATATGGAAGGTGGAAGTAAAGCAGTAGCCATTACTCTTTGAAGGTCATTATGGTTAAATTCAGTGAAAGACAGTCACGGAAATGGTGGCAGAGTCTAGCTGTGCTTTCCTTTCTTTTACATCCAGCACTTCTTTTTTTCATTTACTTTGTTGGTCAACAGTAGCCCTAGGCTCACCTCCACATGCTTGGGAGCTGATCTATAGAGAAAGAGCCATACCTTGTTTTATTGTTCTTTGCCTTATTGTGCTTTGCAGATATTACATTTTTTTTTAACAAATGAAAGGTTTGTGGCAACCCTGACTCAAACAAATCTATGGGCATCATTTTTTTCAATAGAATGCGCTCACTTGGTGTCTTTCTATCATGTTTGGGTAATTTTTGCAATATTTCAAACTTTACTAATATTTTTATATCTACCATGGTGATCTGTGATCAGCGATCCTTGATATTACTATTGTAATTATTCTGATGTGCCACAAACAGCACCCATATAAAATGGCAGGCTTAATTGATAAATGTTTCGTGTGTTTTGACTGCTCCACTGACCAACCATTACACTCTCTCTCTCTCCCTTTCCTTAGGCCTCTCTATTCCCAACGATAGAACAATATTAAGATTAGGCCAATTAATAACCTTACAATGCCCTTTAGGTGTTCAAGTGAAAGGAATAGTTACACATCTCTCACTTTAAATCAAAGCTACAGATGGTCAAGATTAGTGAGGAAGGTATGCCGAAAGCTGTGACAGGCTGAAAGCTAAGCCTCTTGCACCAAACAGCCAAGTTGTAAATGCAAAAGGGAGAGTTCTTGAAGGAAATTAAAAGTGCTACTTCAGTGAACATGCAAATGATAAGAAAGTGAAACTGTTTTAGTGGTCTGAATAGAAGATCAAGCCAGCCACAACATTCATTAAAGCCAAAGCCTGATCCGGAGCAAGGCACAATTCTCTTGAGTTCTATGAGGGCTAAGAGAGGTGAAGAAGCTACAGAAGCAAAGAGAATGTTTCATGGCATGTAAGCTCATGAGACAGATATTGTTTCATGAGGTTTAAGGAAATAAGCCATCACCATAGTAAAAAAAGCGTGAGGTGAAACAGCAAGTTCTGAAGTAGAAGCTGCAGCAAGTTATCCAGAAGATCCAGCTAAAATCATAAGATGGCTATGCTAAACAACAGATTTTCAGTATAGAAGAAACAGCCTTCTGTTGGAAAAAGATGCCATCTATGACTTTCATAGCTAGAGAGAAAAAGTCAAGGCCTAGCTTCAAAGCTTTAAAGAAGAGGCTTACTGTCTTGTTAGGGGTGTGTGTAATGTAGCTGGTGCCTAAAGCCAATGTTCCCTTCCACTCTGAAAATTCTACAGCCCTTACAAATTATGCCAACTCTACTTCTCTTGTGTTGTATGGATGAAAAAACAAAGCCTTGATAATAGCACATATGTTTATGGCGTGGTATACTAAATATTTTAGGCCCACTCTTCAGACCTACTGTTCAGAAAAAAAAGATATCATTACTCATTAACAATGTATCTTGTCACCCAAGAGCTCTGATGGAGATATACAAGGAAATCCATGTGTTTTCATGCCTGTTAACACAACACCCATCTGCAGCCATAGAAGAAGTAATTTTTTGACTTTCAAGTCTTAGTATTTAAGAAATAAATTTCATAAAGTTATAGCTGCCATAAATAGTAATTCTTCTGATGAATGTGGGCAAAGTAAATTGAACAACTTTTTGAAAGGATTTACCATTCCAGATGCCATTAAGAGCATTTGTGAAAGGGAGGACAACATATCAACATTAACAGGCATTTGATGAAATTAATTCCAATCCTCATGGATGGCGCATTAAGCTATTCATGACTTCCAGGGAGAAAGCAACTGCAGAGGTAGAGGAAATAGCAAGAGAGATAAAATTAGAAGTTGAGCCTGAAGGTGTGAATGAATTGCTATAATCTTATGATATCACATGAATGGAAGAGGAATTGCTTTTTATGGATGAACAAGAAAAAAAGATAGTGATCTTTTGTGATAACATGTCCTAGTGAAGAACATTGTTGAAATGACAACAAATGATTTAGAATATTAAGTAAAATAAACTTTTTCATAAAACAGCTGCATCATTTGAGAGGATAGAATCCACATTAAAAGAGTTCTACTCTGGCTAAATGCTATCAAACAGTATCACATGCTACAGAGAAATCTTTCATGAAAGGAAGATTCAGTACATGTGGCAAGCTTCATTGTCTTATATTAAGAAATTACCACAGTCACCCAGCCTTCAACAACTACTCTCCTGATGAATCAGCATCTATCAACATTGAGGCAAGAGTCTCTAGAAGCATTGAAGACTCAGATAATGGTTAGTAATTTTTAGCAATAGTGTATTTTTAATTAAGGCATGTACATTGCTTTTATAGACATAATGCTATTGCACACTTAGACCATGATATAGTATAAACATAATTTTTATGGTAATATGGTTTGGCTGTGTCCCCACCCAAATCTCATCTTGAATTATTGTTCCCATAATCCCCACTTGCCATGGGATGGACCCAGTGGGTGGTAATTGAATCATGGGAGTGGTTACTTCCATTCTGTTCTCATTATAGTGAGTGAGTTCTCTTGAGATCTGATGACTTTGAGGGGCTTCTTGTCCCCTTTGCTCTGCACTTCTTCTTCCTGCTGCCTTGTGAAGAAAGATGTGTTTGCTTCCCTTTCAACCATGATTGTAATTCTTCTGAGTCCTTCCCAGCCACATTGAACTGTGAGCTTTTCTTTATAAATTACTTTTCCTTTACAAATTGCCCAGTCTTAGTTAATTCCTCATAACAGTATAAAAATGGACAAATACAATAAATTGGTACCCAAAGAGAAGGGTGCTGATATAAGGATATCCAAAAATGTGGAAGCAACTTTGGAACTGGGTAACAGGCAGAAGTTGCATATTAAATTTAGAGTTTTTAAAATATCTAATGCTATTTGGGCAAGAAATACTTTATTTTTTTCAATTTTTCTTATCTTTCTACCTGTAGATCATACCGTAAAGCCACATGTACACATATGAGTACCTTATGTTGCCTATGTTAGCCTTATCAAGACATCCATTTTGCAGGCCAGTATCTTCTAGCATGTTTCTTGGACATAGAAACATTTGTCATCAGGCTAGGGTGGGAATGTAGAGACATAAGCTCTATCTGACCAGGTTTTTTCCCCTAAACTCCTAAGCTCCCTTACTGAATTTTGAAGCATCTCAAAATTAGATTAGAAATTTACTGTACAGATGCAGAAATCCCTTTTGCTACCTATATCCTCTTCTCCTATTTTCTCTTGATGACTCTTGCTATGATAGTTTAAATTTTTAGCTTTCAACACTTGATTTTAATTTTTCACATTTGGATTTTTTGTATTTGATTCTTTAGAATTTGGGATACAGATTTGTTTTGGCACAGTTTGCCTTTTTGGCCTCAGTATCTTCAGTTATCTTTGTAGAGAAGCCTTAGTATCTCCAACTTTTGTGTGTTAAAACACATGCCTCTAAGTAAAATCGCAGCTTCAGTCTATATCAAGAAGGAGAATGTTAACATTGTCTACAGAGTACAAACTCCATATAGGTAAAGATGGTGTATATTTGCCAAGGTATTCCTTGTACCCATCGCCATTTCTAGATCATATAAATGTAGTAACTGTTAAAGTGATGAATTCAGAAAAATTCTGTTGAGTGGTTTTTTTTCTTTTATGTACAACTGGTTGAATTTATTCCCTTTGAAATACAAAAGCCCAATAATTGTATGAGTCACAAAGGCAAAGGGTATGCTTACTATATTCATTGGTTTATATCCATATCCCAACACAATGCCTGTCTCAGTATAATCACAAATATGTGTTTTTTGAGGGAACAATGAAGGGATATGCATTAGTTTTCACTGATTACTATTTCCATAGAGGTGACTATCATGTGGCTTGGAGGCAGCAAGGACCTGGTAATTTGTTCTGTGGAGAATCTATATTAGTTTTCTATAAATCTCAGTTCCCAGAGATTGCTAAAGATTGAGGACACAGAAAATGATATGCTTAGGTTTTGTTATAAAATTTTTTACTTTATTAGGATCAAAAAGTGATTTCTAACTCTATGTGTTTGTAGGAGAACAAGCTATGTACCCTGAAAAATAGTGTCTATACTAGTTAGCATTCACTGCAATACCAACAATCCCAAAATTTAGTAGCTAATTAAAACAATTATTTCGTTAACTACTCTGTCAGTTGGCAGTTGGGCTTTTTTCAGCTAGACGAATCTGGGGACCTCATGTATCTGGCTACTCATGTGACTATGGTTAGCTTTCAGATTGATAAGGGATCAGTTAGTTGGTCTAGGGAAGTCCTCAGTTTTGAACTCTTTTTAAATTCAATATTTATTTTAAATTCAGGGAAATATAAGCAGGTTTGTTGTATAGGTAAACTTGTGTCATGGGGGTTTGTCATACAGATTATTTTGTCATCCAGGTATTAAGCCTAGTACCCATTAGTAATTTTTCCTAATCCTCTTACTCCTTCCACCCTCCACCCTCTGATAGGCCCCAGTGTCTGTTCATGCCACCTATGTGTCAATGTGTTTTCATCATTAGCTCCCACTTACAAATGAGAGCCTGTTCCTGCATTAGTTTGCTAAGGATAATGGCCTGCAGCACCATCCATGTTCCTACAAATGACACAATCTTGTTCTTTCGTATAGCTGCACGGAATTCCATGGTGTATGTGTACCACATTTTATTTATCCTGTATACCATTGATGGGCATTTAGATTGATTCCATGTCTCTGCTATTGTGACTAGCACTGCAATGAGCGTACATGTGCATGTGTCTTTATAATAGAATGATATATATTCCTTTGGGTGTATACCCAGTAACATGATTGCTGGTTCAAATGGTATTTCTGCTTTTAGGTCTTTGAGCAATCACCACATTGTCTTCAACAATGATTGAGCTAATTTACACTCTCCCCAACAATGTATTCTGTTCTCTGCAATCTCACCAGCATCTGTTATTTTCTGACTTTTTAGCAACAGCCATTCTGACTGGTGTGAGATGATATCTCACTGTGGCTTTGATTTGTATTTGTCTAATGATCAGTGATAGTGAGCTTTTTTTTAATATCATTGTTGGATTTAAGAGATCACAGCTTTTCCAGAAACTGGACCCCATATGCACCTTATACAAAAATTAATTTGAGATGGATTAAAGGCGTAATGTTAAAACCTAAAACCATAAAAACCCTAGAACAAAACCTAGGTAATTCAAGACATAGGCATGGTTAAAGACTTCATGACTCAAACATCAAAAGCAATTACAACAAAAGCCAAAATTGACAAATGGGATCTAATCAAACTAAAGAGCTTCTGCACAGCAAAATAAACTATCGTTAGAGTGAATAGGCAACTACAAAATGGGAGAAAATGTTTGCAATCTATCCATCTGACAAAGGGCTAATATTCAGAATCTACAAAGAATTTAAACAAATTTACAAGAAAAAGCCAACAACCCCATCACAAAGTCGGCAAGAGATGTGAACAGACACTTCTCAAAAGAAGACATTTATGCAGCCAACAAACCTATGAAAAAAAAAGTCATCATCACTGATCATTGGAGAAATGCAAATCAAAACCACAATGAGATACCATTTCACACCAGTTAGAACGGTGATCATTAAAAAGTCTGGAACAACGGGGACAAATAACAATGCTTTTACACTGTTGGTGGAAGTGTAAATTAATTCAACCATTATGGAAGACAGTGTGGGGATTCCTCAAGGAGCTAGAACCAGAATACCATTTGACCCAGCAATTCCATTACTGGATATATACCCAAAGGATTATAAATAATTCTCCTATACAGACACATGTACACGTATGTTTACTGCAGCACTATTCACAATAGCAAAGACTTGGAACCAATTCAACGCCCATCAATGATAGATTGTATAAAGAAAATGTGGCACATATTCACCATTGAATGCTATACATCCATAAAAAAGAATGAGTTCATGCCCTTTGCAGGGACATGGATGAAGCTGGAAACCATCATTTTCAGCAAACTAACACAGGAACAGAAAACCAGACACTGCATGTTCTCACTCATAAATGGGAGCTGAACAATGAGAAACCATGGACACAGGAAGGGGAACATCACATATTGGGCCTGTTGGGGGATATGAGGCAAGGGGAGGGAGCGTATTAAAACAAATACCTAATGCATGCAGGACTTAAAACCTAGATGATGGGTTAATGGGTACAGAAAACCACCA